AGGGAGAATACGAAGATTTGTATGGACGAACTTTTGTGCTCATACATTATTTTCTCCTTCAGATAGTCGATATCTCACTGCACTTTCGAAATTTTCTCGGAATATATAGAGGTAATATTTCCCAATTCACGTACATGTTTTTTCGATGTATACAAAAAGGCACTTCCATAGAACTTTCTACTTTATTAAAATAATTTTAAGAACTTTTAGTCGTAGATGACGTCTAGTTGAGAATGTTGTAGACTGAAGAGGAGCTTCCGAAATAAGTCCACTTTTTATTTCACTAAGTTCTGTAATTTATGTTTACGACAGTAACATGTGTACAATGTAATTATGCTTGGTGATTATGTAAAGCAATACTTTACTATTTATCTACTTATAAGAATTATAAGTAGAACGAATGGAACAAGAATCCTTCATTTTGGTACGAATTTTTTATAGCAATTTAAATACAAAATAGTTATCAAATAATATATTACTGAGGGTTTCATTATTTCAACAATATCGTGCTTCGACACATAGCAATAATCATGTGATACGACTGTATGTCGTGTAGTTAATTAACTCTAGTCAATATCCTTGGAAGAAGATCATAGAAAGTAGAGAAAGTTTTCAGTTCTTTCAATGCTTAATACATAAAAATATCTGTAGACAATTAAAAACAATAGAGATAATTACCTTAGATCATTAATGAGGGGTATGTGCTGGCATCCATTTTCACATCATATATAATCATGATTACTAACTTACAGGCACACATTTATTACTCTCAAGTGAACCCCTAACAGACAGTGACACACTCTTAAGAACATAGTGATAAGGACAACACAGTGGAAACATGAATAAAACACAGTACATGTCGTTTATTTTTTATGTATTTCATGAGATGAGTATACATATGCAGTGCTTCTTGTCTGTGAATGTGCAAAACAGTGTCCAGAAAAATGCTTTGATATGTGCGCCGTGCGTATGATGTACTCGCCAGGCAGCGCATGTCCAGTTTGCAGTTGCCTTGGCCTGTGGTGGGTGACTGTAGGCGAAGGTGGGCGTGTGGGCGCATGCGGTTTGAGTAGCATCAACCCACGTGTAGCTCCCTCTCTCTCTCTCTCGACGCCGGAGAGCTTCCTAATATCAATCCCTGATCAAAGGAGTGGCGGTTCATGTGCGTGCAAGGTCAGTTAGTCCTCTCCCCTAAACGGCATATCTAGTTTATTACGTCCGCCCCACTAATGCTACGTCATCTCGCTTGAAAAGATTGAAAGCCGCTTACATTCATTAAGGAGAAACTGGGCTGCTTCTATTTTTTGATAAAAAAAAGTTATCTTGGAGAGAATACGCCCTGAATAAAAAACTATTATTATACATACTCCGGTTTACTGACGTCATACACCTCAAAATACCGCAACCTCGCTTGGCTGCATGTATTTGCCATCAATGCGGTTCCAGGGCTGCCGCGACAACGCCTCTCTGTTCTCAACAACACATCGAGGCGCCTCTTTTTGCCCCGGCTGCCTCATTACTCCACCTCCCCTCAGGCAATTATCGGTTCAACGAAAGCACAACGGGCTGATGGACAGTGCCCCGGGGCGAGGGCGTGTATGTATGTGTGTGTGTGTGTGTCTCGCCTCGCTTGCATCCTATTTGATCACAACCTTCGCATCGGCGCCTCGTGCGAATGGGTTGTGACGTCACAACCCGCCCCTGACGCAACGAGCGTTCTCAGAAACTTTAATTACTGCCCCCCGTCCCTTCCCCACCAAGTGCAAGTATCAAAGAGATTTCGGTACTAGCTGGGCTGGGTAATTTCAATCAAACGAAAACTGGGGAGGGGGCGGGGCACGAGCGCAGCACTTCTTTGGTAGTTAATTGAGTCCTTGAGGGCGCCTAGGTGGCTCCTCTGAGACAACACGTCACCCACCTCTCCTCCTCTTCATTGGAACGGTATCCATATCTAATTGCCGTTTTTCCTCGGTTGATTTTAACTACTTGGCGGTAGCGTTCGTGATAATTCAGTTATTTGATATAACGGCTGGCAAATTACCGGTTCCTAAGAAATCGTACGGTTTTAAGTAAAAAATCCTGCCTAAAGATTATTATTTTTATTTAGAAAATAAAAAGGAAATCTTAAAATTCTGATTTAAGCAATATACAACCAAACGAACAAAATTAAAACGTAGATGGAAAGACAAAATATATTTATCTGTGGAAATAATATTTTCGGTACTATGATTATAACAATTGCAGATGATTCTAAATGCTTAAAATTTTATTTAAATCCTGACTGCTTGACAATTTCGAGCGCGTGCGCCGTGGCCAGCTCTGGGTCACCCATCCACCAGGCGTCGTAGTGGAGTATGTGGAGTTCCAACGCCGGGCTGTGCTGTGGACTGATGTGGCTTCCTGTACTGTACTGTAGTGTGTAGTGCTGCGTGTTGAGCACTGGAAGTGGCTGTAAGAGAGTGTTGGGGACGGGAAGAGTGAAATGTACCACTGTCTGTTCTGCAAGTGCCTCGTCAACAGATGTGATGTCGCCATCGCCAGGAGCAACATAGCTTTACCAAACTTTTACCACTTTAAAGCCCTTTTGAATAAAGAACTGATTGTATTTGTGGTGCTGTCTCGTTTTCGGAACGATCGTCTAATAATTCTGCTTAGAAATCTAAAAGAAAAAGTCTGTAGAAACGCAAAGCAACATCTCTGATTTACGTTATTTGCCAAATGAAAATAATGGGGGCAACGTTCAAATTACAAAGCTTTGACCCGCTAATTTTTAGATCCGGCGAATCTTCCGCAACGGCCTCCAAGAGAGATCTTGACGAGCGAGAAACCTAATAATCACGCGACGTAATGGCATCCCCGGAAGCTCAAAGACGACAGAAACAGCCTCAAACGGAACGGAGATCCCGAAACAAACTGCTCATCGCTCCCTATCATTACACAACGCCCCAATTAAAAGATATCCTTGTTCGTCTCCAGACGCCCTGACGTCAGCGCCCGTGTGACGTCGCAAGGGAGACCGAGGGACGCGGGTCGGGGTAGGGGTTGGGGGCTGGGGGTGAGGGCCAGGGAGATCGGAGCGAGGTGGGAGGGGCAGCGAAGACTCGGGTGGCGAAAAGGCGGACGCACGGATGAGGGCGCGCTGAGCCTTGAGGACGGTGCTGGGCCCTTGCCCAGCCTGGCATCGATTCGGAGACTTTCCCGTGCTAGGGTCCGCAGACTTCAAGACGCAATTTTAACTCTTAACAAAGACGCCGAGCAATATCACCCGCCGTTTGGGATCACAAATGAATCTGAAGATGACTGGATATATATCTGTTTATATTTAACGATAAACCATTAAGTACTCAAAAGAATTTTGTGAAAATTTGTATATCAAAACAGATAGAATATTATAATTGCCAAGAAATTAATATTCTCATTAAAAATTCATCACGAATTAAAAATTATTCATTAAAGCTGACTACAAATTCCATTGGAAGTCAAAAATAAAAATCTTATGAGAATATGGTTTCAGGTACTTTGCCCTCTTTTTCGATTGACATACGACCTAAATGAGTTTTGAAAGGCAGCAAATGGGAAAGAAAAGCCGAAATTAAATGCCGATTTGGGGACTGAGTTGGATTTCCAAAACTATTTCGAGACAACTACACGCAAGAATGAATCGAATTCGTGACAATTAATTACTTTTAGAAATAAAGCAAACACGCAAGAGAAGATAGAGAGTCAAGACTAGTGCAATGCTTAAACATTCTCAAAACAATTAAGACCGATCCGTTAAGCTCTTCGGCTGGATACCACAGATATGTAAGTTAACAAGACACTCATTATTATACTAAATAATTGGATGTATACTATATTTTAAGCTAAAGAATATCCATTAAAATGCAAGACATTCATTCAATCACCGAAATATAAAATACTTTAAACGTTTTCAAGAGAAAATTGTAAAATTTACACAATTGAAAGTGCCTTCATTTCAACAAGGCTTTGTTTTAACTGATAGCGTTTCTAAGAAAATTGTATTAATTATAATACAATATTACACGAAGTAAAAAAATTGGAAATTATTTCGTAATTTCTGTAATAATAATAAATAATTTCTGGAACTTAGTATTTCCCTTTTGAGATATCGCCGCAAAACTGCATTCTTTATATGAATTAACAGACAAATTATTGTTCATAAAACTAATTATAAAACTGAATCTGACGATGTTTCGCTATTCTTGCGTTTGCTCTAAAAGAATCACGCAACACTTCCTGGCAAGATTCGTCAGGACTTTCCAATCGCCTAATAAAGACGAGTGTTTCTCGAATAACACGAGACCGCACGAAGGAAGCGACTCACGCTACGACCCCGGGAAACCTGCGGCGAGCGCGGGGGAAAACGACGCGGGGATCGGAAGTTGCGTGAGGCGGCCGCACGCTTTCCCGCCACGCAACGCAACGTCCCCGCGCGCGGCACGCGTCGATAACCGGCGGATTGGCATCTCGGCGCCCCCCTCGCCCTCTGCGCCCGGAAGCGACGGCTACAGACGAAGCACCCGGCGAAATTTGCATAGGTAAGAATGTTACAGACCGACGTGACTCCCATTGGAGGAGTTGATAGTCGCTCGAAATGTTGGGGCGGGTACGCAAAATGATACTTATTCGCATTGAAAACACTAAAAATGTCGCCACTACTGGCGTAGAATAAGTGAAGCTCGTGTGGGAGTTCTTCGATGGAAGAAAACCTGAATCCCAGTTTTTGAAATGATACGCCCCATTTCTATCCAAATACGATGCGAACGTACAGTTCTTTCACTAAAACACTCTCACAGATATCTGCTGGTAGAGATTCACAATTCCCGGTAGGCCCCAGATCCCTCTGTCCGACGCTCCTGGAGGCCAACGCGCAAAAGACTCTCCGACGTCCACGTGGAAACCCTATTAAGCTCCTGGCGACGGCGACAGCACCTTCTCCTCCTGCCCACGGAGCGACTTTCCCCCCAGCCAGCACATACCCCTGTTCGTTGGTGTTGGTGAGATGGTTCTCCTTGTCGAGTTCGGTGATGGTGACTTCGCTGTCGATGACATTGTCGGTGCTCTCCCGGCGCGCGGTCTTGCTCGTCTTCTTCACCTTGCGCACTTTGCGCTCCGTCGTCGTGAACTGCATCTGCACCTCCACGTCCGCCATGGCTGCTGCTGCTGCTGGTCGGGGGGCTGCTGGCCGGGAGACAGAGGCTACCACTCGGGCGGAGCGGGTGTACTCGCGGGCGGACCGGATCGAGCCACTGGCTTAAGCGCGACTGGCGACGC